TAAATGGAGTGTGGTTTGCCTCTTTTTATTTTATGTTGACTAGCAAGTAAGGGACCGGATTGTGGTCGCCCACTTTGCTTTAGTTTGCCGTGAGACGGTCGATGTAAAAATAATTTTGATCTATAAAAATTTATTTAACGACCAAAAAAAAAAAAAAAAAAAACTATTAAACATCAAATTCAATACTATAAGAAAATCAATTAATTGAAAGAGTTATGGCGCCCATGTCCGTCAAGCTAAGCTCTGGCGCCAACGGCTGGGATCTGGCCTACTTTTCCAAATCACACTTCCACAAGTTCCCGAACCCCAACTTTTGAAAACTCGGATCTCGGACAGCAAGCCCACAACAAATTCCTGTCTCAGTTCCTCCCTTAGTTTTCCGTCACTGTCGACCTTCGTGGCCCCCTTTTTGCGTTCTTGCCGAACCTTTCGAGACTTGCGCAGGGGTTAGCCTCAGAAGGACAACTCTTTGGATAAGGCGTTAAGCCAGGCTTCTAACCCTCGGCCTATCTGGTCTCGTGCGTATTAACACTCTTTTGTTTTTATCAAAGGAAACCAACCATACGAAAGCATTTGATCGGGTGCTATCGTCTAACTATATCTATGATAATGATTGTTAATCTCCTTTCTCTGACAACGGGCCCTAGTTCAAGGGCCAAAAGATAGCGGCCTGGTGTAAAGATCTCTGCATAACACAACACTTCGCCAGAGGTTTCATACTAAGCCCACTTATTCTTAGTTCGATATCCAATAGCAACAAAGGGAGAAGTTTAACCTGGGCTTGATGTAATTGAGTTAAGCATTAGATCCAGCTTATGACTCTATATTATATATGTGATGAGTTTCTAGGTTAAGATCCAAAGAGAGACCGGTTCCTACATTTGGATAAAAGATTTACCATTATTTATTTGTCATAATATTTATACTTTTTATAACATGTTAATATAAAGATTTGATTGATTAGATATTAATATCTTGTTAATTTCCTTCCACAACTGAATAAGAGCGTAGTTTTGGTGTTTAACATAGTAAGAAATCTAATGTTGGTAATTGAAAATGTTCGACACATATATGTCATAAATTTTAAGTGGTCTATATGTGTACTTTGACCAAAAGTTAAACCTCACAACAAGTGAGAAAGAGATTGTAATTAGTTTCTTATTCAAGTACCTACCATGAGGCTTCAACACGCCTTCTTTATTCCATAAATTAATTAGTCCATTGCAAAGTCGTGTCATCCGCAGGGGCGAATTTACAGCCAGGATTTACCCAGGTTGTAGCCCAGGTGGTATATTTACAATCCATTTATTATATATAATGTGTTTTGTATTATTAATTTAG